ATACTTTGTTTGAACATGTGGAAAAATGAAAACACAAACTGTTTAGTGTTTGAAATAAAAAACAATCTAAGGTAATCCTTCAAAATTAGGGTTCAGATTACTGTCTGCAAAGGATGCTGTTTAACTGAAACATCTGGTATTGTTATGTTGAGAGACAGGCCTTTTTTAACATTGGAAATGAGATTAGTAGATAATTTATTTGTACATGTCCAAGTAATTTCTAATTATTTTATCTGGGTCACAGATAATCCGCTTTACAGGACTCCCACAAAGACATCAGAGGATCACTGCTGAACTGATTATCCTGTTACCTTCGACTGTCCATGGGAAGACGGGATTTTCTTTTTGTACAGAGGAACAGAAAGAAGTCGCTGATTGCTTCAGACAGGTGGTGGCCAACAAAATAAAGAACAGCATAAGATCTTGAAGAGGAAGAAAACCTCACGTATGCAAAAGGCATCGCCCTTACAAAAGGTCAGCACATTGAATATTTCTTAGTAGTGTCTCATGCAATTTAAAACCTCATTAGATATGAACAAGAATCAAAATAATCGGTCAAGCCATTGCTTAATAAAGCATGCTGCATTATTTATTACTTGTTCTACAGTCAAGCCTTGTAGATCAAACATAAGCAATACTGGAATCTCACTGTATACACAGAAAAACTGTTAACATCATTTAACTGTTGAAGTGAGGTGAAAGACATATAGAAGTGCTTTCCTAACACAAAAACAAACATGAGGGAGAGAAATATAAATGCCAGGGCTAGTCTTGTACTAATATACACACAAACACCCTGGCAGTTCCCCCTTTTTAAAAGCCAAGATTGCAGCTCTTTACCTTCTATAATCATAAATCAGATGTAATCTGTATTTCAAAAAACAGACTTCCCCCCCCCCAGGTGAATTTATGTATTTTCCTACAAATAAAAGAATAAAAAGGCTAGTTAAGAATTAATTATTTTTTTTTAAGAAAAATAAGTGTCTGTTGCATATAAATTACAAAATGAGAGAGGATTTCTTAAAAAATTATGTCAAGAAAATATGTCTTGAGGAAGCAAGTTTCTGGATACCACTTGATTTAGTTCCACTTAAATTTTCTTATTTTATATGAGGATAAATGCAGGGAAAAAGTAATCTGGAACAAGATTGAGTAGCACAGATCTATATCCTCCTCAAGATTTTCTTCCAGGTTAAGTGCAAAATATTATTTTCTAGATTAATTTTGCATTTGCCATTGCGATACAATGTCATTAATGGGTATGGACAATAGTTGCATAAGACATTGGATGTTTTGGATTTTTTTTTGTGGAAAAATTAAAAACTTTCTGAAAAGGACCTATCTATCTCAAGCAAAGTGATAATTTGTCTATAAATAGTATTTTTATTTTTTATGACAAACCACAAAATAAAAAAAAAATCCTCTCCACCTTCATGAAGTTTGAAAGTGTCTATACTAGAGCTATCTTGTTATCTCATAGTGGTTGAGGTAAAAAAGGAATAATGGCCTGCAGTTAGAAGTAGTCTGAAGTAGGAGTACCAGTAAGTTTAAAAAAAAAAATAAGAAAAGGTGCTATTCTCAGTAGTAGAACATTTTTTCTAGACAGAAACTATTATTATTTTTTTCCTTACTGTTTTATTCTAAACTTGCTTTTACTTCTCAAGCAGAGTCACTAAAAAACATCATGTTGTCTGGGAATGCAAGAATACAGGCTTGTTTCCAGTTAAAGAACATACAATTCAAACTTGCACTACAAGCAATTACAAGGAATAGACACAGTTTGTGTTTTCACTTTTCCACATGTTCAAACAAAGTATTTATGTGGAATTAAAGACATTTTCTTCATTTTTTTCTGGTATATAATATTAATACCTGGCTTGATTTTAAACAGCAGGCACAGGCATGGAGCATGAACTAGGAAAATGTTAATGTGTTTTCGTATAAGAGCAGGAAGGTCCATGCTCCTGTCTACCTCTCTCGCACACATCTCTGTGCATCTTCAGTAATCACTGAAATGAATGGTCTCAAGAGTATCTATGGAGCAATTAATATAACATGAATGCTTTAACTGTGTGTATCTATGCCGTAAAATGTTTCAGATTCTTTTAAGTTAACCTCAAGTCTGCACTATTACACTGCAATTATTATGTTTTGCTGTTTAATTTTCATCTGCACCTTATACTAAGTTAGGCTTTCATTGTTTCAAATAGAGCTTCTTTCAGGTACAATTTGCTTTACACAGGAAGATTAGATGTTGATTAGGTAGATGCTGAACAGTAACAGTAGGAATATCACTTCCTCTTAATGATCACAGTTCATTGTTTCTACAGGACTTGAATATTATCCACGCTGAACACTCAGCACTATGGCTGGGCATACCCAGCTTGTTTGTTTCCCTGTTCTATGCATCACAGGCACATCTTTGGGGAGCCTGCAGGAAACCACTCACTCACCTGTTGCTGTTACCTCTGCCTTTTCCATTGGCTAGTGAAAGCTGTTAGTAAGCGCTTAGGGAGGAAGCAAAGCCGCATACTACAATGCTGACCAAAAGCATTTGTACAGAAAGATTTCCTGACACAACTTAAAGACTAAGGACAACCTCACCAAACAGATTTGGCTTTGTTTATTTTGAGGTCTGACTACTTGTTCCAAGCCAATTTCCTCAAGATCACTGAATTGTTTACTCTTGCCAATTCTATAGTCATAAAGAAAGGAATTAAAAGGAAAAGGACAATTGTGCTGCTGGTATGGAAATGCTTTGAGCAGGCAATGGACTAGATTACCTGTGCTCTTCAATGAATTGAAGTAGCAGCATCAACGTGGTGTGAATGAATTAGAATTTGGATATTCCAGTAAGGGATTTCCGCAGCAATTCCAACCCAACAATCCCAAACCTATAAACTCATCCACACGAGGAAAGCACAACAGCTCGTTTGCTACAAGTAGAGTGCAGCGAGATGCCCTAATGCTGAAGATCTGTACTTTCCAGCATTTGTCTCTCATAGTCAATCCATATCAGCAATAACTGTGTTGTGTTTGTCTCACAAGGTTTGGCAAAGAGGATAAAAGACACTGTCCAGGCATATTGCAACTCAGCCATCTACAGAACTATGATTTGAGCACATAAAAGGAGGTTGGACTTGAAAATTATATTAACCCACATCTATTCCAGGGAAGTGGCCAGCTCAGTTAGTGCGACGGGATGTACACAACAGTATATTACACAACTGACATAGAAAAAAGGGATTTTAGAGCACTTTGCAAGAGTTTGCAGTGGGGGGAGCAGACTGACAGTGTCAGGGCTCAGAATGGTGAAAGAACACACTGGGAATTCACATCTGTTGCAGAGACAGCACAGTTGGTATTATGTCAGAAGTGTCGCAAATTTCAGATGTATCATGTATCTGACAGAATCAGGTTCAGCTTGAAAGTTTTTATTTCATGTATGCTAATAGTATCTCAGCAGATGCTAATGGCCACTGTCAATATTTAGTCCAGCTTCTGGCAGTACACACAGAACAGAACGGTAGATTTAGGCTTTGTTCCTTGCTTCTTCTATATCATTTATGTATTTTAGTGTAGTATTGATCACGTCTTATAGTTCCTTCTCACATATCCATTTAAGAGACTAAAAAGACAGCCATATTTCAGCAACTGAACTTTAAGGCTCCCTGAGTTTCTGTTTCTCCTGCTACCAGGAGTGACAGCAAGCAGAATTCAGACACCTGCACCACTTCAGCTAGATACCTAGGCAAGGCATAGTCTTGGATTAGGAAAAAAACCCAACTCCAGAGGATGCAGACACAAAAGGTTGTGTGCCAGCAGTTAAAGAGGGAGGTGAGAACTTCTCAGCAAGACCCTGGCACAGAAGTCAGGCAGTAAAGGTGCACAGAGGTACATCTGCAGAACTGAGGGTTGACAGAAGCAGAAGAAAGCAGTCTGGTAGAGCAGCTAAAGGATGGCAAAAATAATACACAGCATAGCTACAGTCACATAAAGAACAGAAGGCAGTAAACTTATGTACAGGTAACACAATAAAAACAATAAACAGTATTACTGTTTTATCTAACAGAAGGAAAAACTACACAGTATTTTTTGTCCTTTATTCCATTCAGGGGAATTACATAATACAGTTAGGAGGTTTTCCACTATGTACCTACAAAGTTTAATACTGTGTAAATCCTCATAATCCCAAATGAAATCTCAGGCAGATCTCAATCAGTTATAGACACAAAGATGCTGTTATCTTGTATACTACTGTCTTTTTAAAAAGTTCTGCAGGCCACATCATAAACCTTTTCAGACATATCCAGATCAAACTAATGTACTATCTCTGCTCAACACTGCAGTACTTCAAACACTTCTATGCATTCACTGGCAGTGATAAATTTCTAATGTCCAGAACAGGATGCTACAGCAAAAAAAGCTTGTTTTTTTAAGACATTTATTACATCACCACTTCATTTAACTGGATTTTTTTTCCATGCAGAGGACATTTTTCTGTATCTAAAAATACAGAATGTGTGTTTGGACTGTAAATTGTACATTATTCCATTCCACAGTTTAGAAACTGAAGAGAGATGAACATAAGCATCTTTATTAAATGTTTTAACAAAAAGTCTGTGTTCTCAGAATGCATGATTTATCAGTGGGTCTCACTGTCAAAAAGTATAAAGGAGACCATATATAAAGGAGATATATGTTTAAAATAAAAATAAAAATAAAACCACATACATACCTTGTACACTGCAAAATTCCAGGATAATGTATGGCTTTCTTTAATAACAAAAATCAGGAAATTTACTGGATAGGTGAATTATTAGACACTTGCTAGTGGGCTTCTTAAGACTTCTTTGCAGAGCACATACCAAATAGGTGTCTCATAGTGCAAGTACTTCCTTCTATTCTTTCCTTAAAGAATACTCTTTCCTTTCCCACTTTTCTGCTTTATTCATTTTATTGAAAGTGAAACTAATGTGTTTCTAAAATTAGATACTTACAGTGAAAATACCCATTAGCTGAGTGTAAAAGAGTCCACTTATTCCAATTAATATTATTAAACCCATGAAGGCAGATATTCTTAGGAGAGCAAGTTCATGTCTAAATACAAAAACATCCTAGAACAAAACAGAAAGAAGAGAGAGACTTCAGCACTTTTGAATTAATTTAAGTCTTTCAACCAACTGGAAATACCAGATTAGACCTGTTCCTGAAGACTTAAAGCTAAAGGCACATATGGGAGTTTTGAGGTACACTGTAAAGCACTCATATTTATGTGCTAAATCAATAATCTTTTATTTATACATGTGAACAGCTGGGTTTTTTTGCCAGACTGTTAAAAAACCTCATTTGGGTATTTAAGTTTTGGGAGTAGATTAAGCCCAAATGGGTTACTCCTCAATCTTCCACCTCAAACTGTGCCAGACTGCTACACACAAGCTCCAAAACTTAAGGAAATCATTCTGTTGAACAGTCTGATTTTTAAGACTCCTGTTTCTCAATTCATAGCCACAGCAAATTTCATTTTAACATCAACTCTTCTGTAATTATATAACAACATTCCTAGCTTGACTCTTGAAGATGATACCAACAGAATCAAAGTAACTGTATTAGACTGGTGTCACTGTAATGCTGTGTATTACCCAACATAAACTTAATATTTTAAATGTTCACCTTAAGTGTATTATTATAACTTTGAATATGGCTGCACAACCAAGTTGCCTCAGGGTACAGGAGGAATAAATTTACTGTACCAGCTGCTCTGGAAAGCCTGCCTTCACCCAGCAGAAAATACGAAAAAGCTAAGAGAGTTTTGTAGAACTTTTTCAAAGGATAAAGCACCTTATTTTTATCCTGGGAAAACATTTCTACATGGCAGTTACTGCACATGTACTACAAGTTCACACCCCATCTTACCCTTTGATAATGAGTTAACACACCTACTCTCTCATAAATAGTTTTGATTATGTTCTCAAGGCTGTTGTTTGAATGTACACATCTGTTTTTCCAGTTAGAAATGCCATTTCACAGCAGAAAACTATGAAAACCTTTCTGGAAAACTTTAAATTACAACCAGAAGATAAACACAAAATGCATTTAGGAAAAAAAAAAAAAAAAAAAGGAAAATAAAAAGTAAACAAAAAATCCAGGGTTTTTGATCTTTCCTTCTTTACATTCGACCCATAGAACTAGAGGAAAAGGAATTCTTAGGTTTGGGAATACTGGGTTTTAATTAAACAGAGATTAGTTGAAGCAAATGATATTTAGTAAAAAAGTCTGATTTTAGATTTAAATTATTTCCATGAAGATTCAAACTATAAACCCTGGGAAAAAAGTTTACACTGGCTACTGAAGCTGGAAAGAAAATCACTATTTAATGAACAAGCAGAAAACACTAGTCAACCAGCTAAAAAAAAAAGCAAACCCAGTCTTTTCTGAACTGGTAACAGCTCTTGTTAGCACTGGCCCTTCTTGCTGCCGTAGAAAATATATGCTTAATTTCGTCTTTAAAAAAAAACACAAAACACAACACTTCTTCTTACTCACTTTACAATTCAAAGAGAAATCACTGGAAAATAAATGCATCCATACTAGTGGGTTTGGGTTTTTTTTCCCTTTCCATTAGTCCACCAAAGATTTAAAGAAAAGCAAAGTAAGACACAAGTTCTACTAGCTGTAAAATACTTTCTCTTCATAGTTACGTTGTTTTATTATATCAGAAACTTTTTGATGTATTCAAACTCAACTTGACAGAACACAGTGAAACCTAAGAGAAGAGCTGCCAACAGTGAACTCACATTCTGGATCTAACATCACACTCACCCATTAGAAAAAAGTTCATCACATAGCACTTAGCATCTCCCCAAAACTCTAATAAGA